TATGAAGTTGCTTGCTTCCTTTCTTCATCTCAGTTTCTTCTCAGTTTGGAGGATATCGTTCAAAATCTCAGGCTTATCTGCACTTGATCAGATGATGAGATTCTGGACTCCACGCCTGAAATCAGAATGGGAAGAGATTTTGGGGGAGGAGATGAGTGCATTTTGCATCACCAGGTGTCAGAATGTGAGTGGGGCTTTCTTAGGTCACCGAGCCCCAGGAAAGCCACCAAATTACTACAGCCACATTTGAGTGTTCCCAAGCAATAGCAGTGAACTTCTCTACACAGCCTCGCCCAAATTATTGACCCACAGAATCATGAGAAAATAAAAGTGGTTATTGTTTTAAGACACTAAATTTGGGGATGGTTTACTACACAGCCATAAAAAACTGAGGTATGTGACCTGAACGGCAGACTTGGTTTCCACTTCTTGAGCAGCATGTTGCACTAGCAAGAGGAAGCTGGGGGGAGGGCAGGTTGGGGTGATTTTCCTCAGATGAGGATGATCACAGCATGGGCAATAAAAACTTCAGGGACTCGCTTCTCAGCTCACACAGTAGGGTGTGATTTCAGGGTTTCCTCAAGCCCTCTCCAGGCAGCAGCCCTGTCCTTCCAATTCTCACACCTGCTCTCTGATGCTTGAAATTCCTTTAGCTAGCGGTTAAGATTTCCACTACACGAATTAAGATACATTACTTTAAAATATTCCGTTCCATTTAAATACAGACACCCTTGGGAAAAGTAACCGACTGACTTAAAGTTTCCCCAAGATGTAAATAACTGTTGTCTTAGTCTGTTTGGGCTGCTATAACAGAACTTGCAGGACATTTGGTCTCATCCAACATGCCCATAAGACATTTGGTCCATGCCAAAAAGTCCTTGATATTTGGTCCCATCCAAAACCGTTTGACATGGACCAAATATGGTCATAGAAGTTTCGGACAGGACCACAGGTCTGCCAACCGAACAGAACAGTCTAAACTAGGTGGGACTTATGAACAATAGAGATTTATTTCTCACAATTCTGGAGGCAAAGATCAAATCATGGTGTTGGCAGATTCAGTGTCTGGTGAGAACTGGCTTCTTGGTTCATAGACAACTGTCTTCTTGCTGTGTCCACCCATGGTGGAAGGAGGGGGAAACTTTCTGGGGTCTCTTATAAGGTAACAAATGCCATTCATGGGGGCTCCACCCTCATGACATAATTATGTCCCAAAGGCCCCATCTCCCAATATCACCTCACTGGGGGTTAGGTTTCAACATATGAATTTTGGAGAGATTCAAGTATTCGGTTTATAGCAACTGTCTTTAGATCTTTTCATAAGAACAGATTTTGAGAGAGAGAGAGAGCACTGATCACCAGGAAGAAGGACTGTGCTGTCTAAGATAAATCATTGCTTGCCCAGAATCTTGTCCAGGGTACAGTCTGGGACAAAATTCACTGGTGCAGGTAGACATTAAGGGCTATAAAAAAATCTTGTTCTCTGAGTCTGGTTCAGAAGATTTTAAACTATCTTCTGAAGTGATTAAGAATCACAGAAACATGGAGAGAATCTGGTAATGAGATACCTACCTCGGTCTGCAAGGCTTATCAGGGCATCTGTCCCAGTATGGAGATTGCTTTCCCCACCTTATGGCTACTGAGTATGGCACTTCTCATGCTGTAGAAGGCTGGCCTCCACTGTACGGGGTTGGGGGTTCATTTGGGCACTAGCTCTAGAATTCTCTCTCTTCCACCAGCAGCACAGCAGTGGGGAGGGGAAAGCTGAGGCTAGAAAGCTAGCCATGTTTCTGGGTCTATGTGACACTTGGGACCACGCCTGCTGGTAGTTTCTGTGGGAAATGCACAATGAGAAAAATGAGCCAAAATATTAGAAATAACTCAGTGTGGTTGCTTCAGCTATTTTTCAGTGATGGAAATCAGGTCTAAACAACTGTAATTACGGCTCTACCAGACTGTAGTCCCATAGATACAGCTATGGACTTTCAAGTCTCTTTGTGTCTTAATAGCTTGGTTTTTGCTTGGCTAAATTGACAACTCTGCAAGGTTTTAAATCAAGTGAAGGCTTTGGTGTACATACAGAGCTTCAGGATGCTGGGGACAGCGAATGGCCACGTGGACTGTGCACACGGCAGTATCACCCGACAACTGTAATAACAGCTCATGAAATGACTCGTCCAACTCCCATTATTCACTTGCTTCTCCCTCTCCGTCTAAGAGTGCGGTACTATACATTACAAGGTTATTATTTCACTCCTCATATGAACCTTTGGCCTAGTGACTTATCCCTTGAGGCATGCTATAATCACTGAGAAATGTGCTCCCTGTCACGTCTTATTGCTTAATTACGGCTGTATTTTAGGCGCCTAGAGCCATTTGGCTTGAAAACACCTCTCTTATGTGTGATCTGCGAGTCTGCATCCATGCTGTTATCCCTGAGTGCACACCAGTCCGTTCCATTTCCATCTTGTTCTGGCTTGGGCAATAATTATTGCCCCTTGGTTCAGCAGCACCTTGAATTATTGTAGTAAGCTCTTATAGTTATGCTCTTCTCTACATAAGATACTATCAACCCTTTGTCAGAAAGGCATGTGCTTAGAATTCATTTTTCCAATACTAGATTTTTTTTTCTTTTTTGCGATGATAAATCCCAGTGGGCCTCCTGTTTTAAATCAGTGACATGCAAAAAACCTCCCCTTGTTCCAATTCACTCTTGCTCTAGTGACTACAGTTTTTTAACTCAAAATCTGGACATGTTGTCTAACAGAAGTTTTTTGTTGTTACTTTTTTGTTTGGTTGGTTTTTTTGTTTTTTTTTTTTAGTTGTGTATGTGTTGCTTCTCAGTGCTAAAGACAGACTGAGATATGGCAGGTCTTAAATACACAGAGCTTGCAGAACAACTACATAGAATATTTAAAATTAGGAGTGTTCTAAAAATTTGGACTTCTGGAGGATGCACCCCTGGCTAGTGTTCCAACCACTAATTTTGCTTTCCATTTAATAAGACATTATGTTCTGTTATCAGTCTTTGTTTTACGAATGTAAATCTTGGTCCTTCAAGTAAAATATAAGCTTTTTAAGGACAAAAGACACAGATTATATATAATCTGCATATATATACATACACACCTATGCATATACATATACATACATATATATGATCTCTTACACAGTTCTGCATGTATGTAGTTACTTAGTTGTTTGATCAGTTGCATGAAGAGATGATGCTGCATTTTCAAGACAACTGTTAGGAATCAAGAGCTTGCAAAAGTAGCCTGACATTAAGGTAAAGGCAGACTGCAGAACAGTGTCCTGCTTCCTCCCTCCAGAGCAGTTCAAGCCCAGGCCTGGGGTAAATCTCTGTTGAGAAGCAGTGTAATTACCCTGGTCCAGAGTGGTCCCAGCTCTTGTCTGGCAGACTGAGTTATATCTATCAGGGCCTTTTAAAATGCTGACTTAGCTCTTTAGAAATACAAAACCCCAAACAGCATTTGTAAAGGTCACTGGGAATGGCCTGGGTCAGAATAACTTGAGTTTGTTTTTTGCCAATGCCTCGGAAGAGGAAGTTGCTGAATAGTTAGATAGAGCTCACTGAGAGTACTATGTTGCTAAATCCAAACAAAGAACCAGAGAAGTTTATAGCTAAGTTTTTACTCTATAATTCAAATGCCAATCCAGCAATGAAATACGTTCTAGGAATTCCAATCAGAGATTTTTATCATCTGACTTGGAAACCAGCTGTGCTCTCAGCGAGTGCAAAGATTTACCACCTGCAGTTGCTATAATTCAGTAGAATTACGCAGAGGTGAAAAACTTGAGAAGAACTATTTTAAATGCAATGAGAACCATGCTTTAGGAAATTTTGCTTCTCTGAAACCTATAAAAATGGCTCTAATTTAAAGAAGGTAGTTGGGATTCAAGGTATGAGAACTCTTAAGTCCAGGAATTCAAGTTTACCCTTCAAAGCATGCTTTTTTAAAGATAATTAGTGAAAATTACTACAATTTGGTCAACACCACGTTTTAAGTAGCACAAGTGAGATAAGAGAGAGTAGTTAACTCCTTCCCACATATCACATCATCAAGAGCTCTGATAACCTTATGCTGTAACTTTAAGAAGTGGAAGCAGAAGTCGTCGTCCACCAGAGAGGTTCTATAAAGCGCCCCAATAAACTCACGGCAGTAATGTTGAACCAATAATTTCTTTCACAGAAACTAACAATTATCGTGGATTTGTGAACCCATATATCAAGTCTTTTGAATGTATTTTACGATTTTAAAAGATATCAGGGCTATCCTGGAAAAGCCCGTGCATATGGTCCTCATACCAATGAGCCCCCATTCCCATTCATTTGTTCTGTTCCCCTCACACATGGGAGGCAGCTGCCTTGTACAGAACCGATGCAGTATAACTTTGTCACTTATATCATCACCTGAGCACTCAGGTACTACCCTGGGAAAGAAAGCCAAGCAAGGTAAGCTTTTCAAAATAATGGTTTCAGGGGAGATTTTATAGACATATTTGAAAGCATTTCACACATACAAACACAATCTCGGAATGGGTTATAAAGCAAAATTTTCAACTGGAGGGACACAGTGAATGTCATGGCCTGATACATGTAAGAGATATATTAAGAGTTTAGAACTGCAACTTGACTAGCACTTTTAAGTTTAAAATGAGCCAGTTGGCCAACATGCCACGGTGAAGTATCTGGCTTTCAAATTCCTCAGCTGTAAAGTAAGACCATTAAATCAAATCATCTCTGAGGTCCCATCTAATTCATTTATTTCATGGTTCTCATTTCTCCATGTACCTGATAAGCACTTAAAAGAACAGACCAAGAATTAGAGTGTATCTACCTGCATTTAGCCAATATTATAGAACCTCATATTTATTGATGGATTTTCCCTAACAGACGCTCATACAAAGGAGATATTAAGAATATACACTAAGCTGTTTGAAACATCTTTTAAAAGGTAAAGGAAAGACCACATAATAAATGCATTAGACTCGTTTATTCCTTAGAAAAATAAGAGCATATTGGACAATGAAATTTCAACTCAAAGTTCGTAATAGAAAAATACGAAGCTCATCCGCATTACTAGAAGATAACACCCTCAAACAAATTCACTTAAGAATACGATGTCCCCAACTTTTTCAGAATTATTATGGATACAATGTTACATTTGTCCTTCTCTTCTTTTATAATAGTTCTTTAAGACTTAAAATGTAGTGTTTGTACTTTTGGAATTTCTGATAAGCAGATCATAATTTAATGTGATATTCATAGATTTTGTGATGAAACTACAGTATCTATTTACACAGTCACTTATAGCACAATGTAGTGTGGTCAAGCATTAGTGATGGAAATGAACGAACTACCGAATAAGAAAACCACCATTTTAACAATTTAAATGTTTTATGACAGGATAATTTATATTCAACATAAAACACATTTACAGGTGACTTTAGAAAGAAAATATGTCATTTTTTTAAAATAACCAAAAGTAGCAATAAGATTCTCTATATTCTTTTCAGTCTCACTAGAAATGTTTTCATTGTCTAAACTGAATCAACATGCTGATTAAAGACAATATATATTAACACTGAAATGACATATGTATGTGTGTTTGTGTCTGTGTGCACATGTGTATCAACCAGCCAAAACTCAGGTTGTGAACTAAAGCTATTCCAAAGGAAAACTGAAAACAAAAATGATGCTGGCTTAAGTGGTCTGGTTCTTCCTGTAAATTACAATTTCCCAGTTATTTTACAACTGTAGTAAAATCTGGATGGATAATGTAACCCATCACCTTTGTTAGTTGTGTCTCACTCTCTCTGTTTCACATGTTAGTTTTTGTATCTCTTTACTGATTACATAAAACAGGACTTTCATGCTCAACATTTCTTTCAGAAGTTAAGAGTTCAATTAGGTATTGAGAATCACTTTTCACTTTACTTTTCTGTATTTACCTGGCCTAAAAACACTCTTAACCATGTAGTCTTCCTTCCATCCCTTTAAATCACTTGTTTTCACCCAGTAATAAGAGTACAATGAAGGAACTGGACCCAAATCAAGGTGAACTATGCCCCTATATTAAAAAATTACCATAATCTGAGATTTTAGAATAGTCAAACACGTTATCCTAACTAATCATGGCTTCAAAAATTAATATACTTTTAAAGAGGCATTTATCTATCAGAGGTCATAGAATAGTTAACAGAAAGGTTACCGAGTGCCACGGCAGTCATGAAGAACAAACACTGGCACATCACGTGGTCAGAGAAGCTGAAATGTCTGTTACAGTCGTTTCAACGTCTTGATCTGGCTGCGCTGGATTTTGAAGGGGAATGCTATTCGTGTTTTCGCACTGTTCATCACCCTTTTGGGAAGCAGCTTGCTCTTGATGTTTTTTGTTCTCTTCAGCAAACCCTAATGTCCCACGCTCCCCGCAAGGCTGAGATGGTCTCTCCGAGCGAACCACCTGTTTCCCTGCTTCTGCTTCCTGTTCACGCAGCAATCTCTCCACCTCCACCTCGAGCTCCGGAGACTCGTCATCAGCCTGCACGTCCAGCTGCTGCATCAGCTCCTCCAGCTTCCTGGCCTTGCGGAGCTCGTTCTGCTGTATGATGGTACAGAGGTGCTCAGTGAGCTGCTCTTTGAGCTCAGTCTTGCGCTGCAGATCCAGCTTTGCCGTAACGTACTCTGCCTCAGCCCTGTCAAACCGCTTCCTGCAGGGACAGGCACAAAGACCGGTCCGTTAGTTTTCCATTCAAAAAGAGATTCAAAGGAGGGCCTGGAAACAATAATTAAACTCCAAAACCAGAAAAAAAATATATATGATGAAAATACGGCTTTACAAACATTTGTCTACTTATCAGACAAAACAGGCTCCTGCTGCTGAAACTTGCACAGCATGCGCATTTAGGCTCTCCTAATCTAACAATTCTTCTGCACTCATTTCTTCTTCCCCAGGCTGTGTGTGTGAATGAAAGCAGGCTGAGAGGGTTAATTCAAGCGTGCTAGCTCCACTGGGGGAGAGTCCTAATTTGTAGCTGTTTGTTAATTTCTGCAGTAAAAATATTATCACCATGGCCAATTTCAAACTATCTGTGTGGCACTGAATGCAGAACTGGGGAGATGTACACAATCTCTCTCTCATGATCCAGTGCAAGCCGGCTCCAGCGCACAACTGGTTACACTCATGAGAGGTAAAACAGTAAGAGATGGAGAAAGTAGAAAATCTGTTTCTTTCGATGAATGTACTAGAAAAGGGAGAGAAATTTGGGTGAAGGACATGGACAGTGATTGGGAGGTGAATATAAATGGGACAGAGCACACCCAGGGGAATGATACTAGGGGGAAGCAAGGAGTAAACATTAATGAAAATAGAAAACTTCAGGGTAAGTTTAAGGAGGATTTCTCCACCTTGTCCCTACTGACAACTTGGGCTATGATTCTTGTTGTGGGGCGCGTGTGTAGCAGCAAGCTGGCCTTCTCTCATTAGTTGTCAGTAGCACCTGCTGGTTGTGATAACGAAAAATGTCTCCAGACATTACTAAATGTCTCCTAAAGGGTTAAGTTCTTCTCAACTTCTCCACTCTGCAACAATGGACCACTGTTAGACTTTATTAAGAGAAGTCTATTATATTTACATATATAGAAACTGCATAGATAGATAGGTAATGACAGTCTTATTTGAAGCAGGGTAATTCTATTGGGGAAGTCACCCTGTGATCTTCTTTCTTTTCTTTTTTGCCTTTTCCATATAATGTATTGTTTTTCTTTCTGCCCACAAAAGAAGTTGAACCCACTTACCAACCATTCTATTTAGTTACCAAAACATTTGTGAAGGCCATGCTGTCTCACCTGTTATGACTGCCTTTATCAACTCAATGCAACACATAATTTCTAGTACTAGAATTATAGCAAAAAGGACACAGGTATGTCTCCTTATGTGAGATTCTCTGACTTGGAAGGAAATATAGTGAAAAAATAAAAGGCTTTGCTTTTAGAGAACCCAGCATTCAAAACCTGCCTTTGCCATTTATGATGTGCGTACCTGTTTTGGGGAAGGCTTTTTCTGGATGTAATGAACAGATATTCAGTCATACTAGCTCAGGTGAAAAGTGCGTTTTATTGTAGGATACAAGAGGCAATCTCACAGGCATGTCATCAGAATCAAAGGCGATTCTCTTCAATGCTCAGAAACCACAGTTTTTCTCATTTAGACTTTCTTATCATATTCACAGCCCAATATGGCCACCAGCTGTGGCTCATCACATTCATTCCACTCAATCTCTCAGTGCTCCGATCCCAAAATTCCAGAGGGAGGGCCTGGGTTGGCTTCATTCGACTCGTATAAGTTTAAAAAGAACTCTTAGTGCCAGGCCGTGCCACGTACCCCCTTTAGCCTGTGGGTTAAATGTTCTGGAGTTCCCATCTCTGTTCTAATAGAAGTGCCACAGGATCACCCTCGTGGATACAAAACGCAGCCAGGTTCCTGTGGAAGAGGCTGGAGAAAAGGCATGCGGAGACTGAAAATTCCAGTATGGTGACCAGGTATAACATATCCTGTCCATGAATGTTCTTTCATCAAGCTTAAGAGCTCTGACAACATTCTCTACAGGTATATATATATCCTGCCCCTCCCTTCTCTGAAAGTCTGTGGTCTCTCTCAGCCAGATGAAGGCAGTTAGTAAAGATTTACTGACTGGGCTCATGAATGCTGAATTGAAATTAAAATTTGCAAATAGGTCCCTAGGTTTCCATTGATCTTTCACCCTGGATAAATCACTGAAGATTTTGCATTTTGTTTATTTATTTAAAGTCCTTCTGGCCAGAAACATGCATATATACTCTTGTACAGAGTGATTTATGTTCAAAATATTGATTCGTTTCACAAACTGCACTATGAGTCTGAGGGTCAGATGGATAATACCAAACGAGAGTATGAAGACATACTGTGGAACAGAATAATAAGAGCATTATACTTAACACAGTAAGACATATTGAACTGGAAATGTAATTACAGAATTGTCTTGTTATTTTAAAGGAATACTGAATGATTTAATGAATGTTATTTAAAGAATTCTAGAAACTGTCTCTTGGTTTCGGTACCCATGAAATTAAAAAAATAAGTAAAAAACTCAACCATTAACCCTTGGCACACCATCAGGTTCCACTGAAACACTTTTAATTTTTTAGTCTCTTTTCCGAGCAGTTCGAACTATTTATAAGGATCAACATATCTTGATATTTATCCTTTCTTAGGAGTTTCCCAGAGAAGAGAAAATTTACTTACATTTTTGAAAAAATAGTCTAAAATTAATTATATTCTGCAATTACTCTCTGGGTCCACTGGGCCCTTCTATAAATCTAAGATACATTATGGGATTGTTAAAATACAATTTTTCCTTTATCTTGAAACATTCTGCCATTTCATCACCCTAGGAATTATTTCCTCATTATTCATTAATTATTCCCATTTATGCTAAAAAATTAAAATAATCTGAAAACAAAAAATGACAGAATTACCTGAAAGGATGGTAGTACAATGAAATAAATCACCACCACTTAGCTTCCTTACTATATTGTCCAAAGTATTATACCACCGTTTAATAAAAAGGTATAAAAGAAGAATGGCGACACCATTCACAGGTTCTTGGGAATACTACCCTAAATGACAAAAGATGTGACCAAATTAAAGATTTCTGCGGGGAGTTTATTCTGGATTATCCAGCTGAGTCCTAAATGCAATCACATGTATCCTCTTAAGAAAGAGGCAGAGGAAGTTTTGAGAGAAAATAGGAGGAAGCAATGGGACCATGTGGCCACAAGCCAAGGAACGTCTACAGCCACCAGAAGCTGGAAGAGGCAAGGAATGCATTCTTCCCTAGAGTCCCTGAAGGAAGAGCAACCCTGCCGACACCTTGACTTCAGACTTGTGGCTTCCAAAAATGTAAGACGATACATTTCTGTTGTTTTCAGTAATTTGCGATGGCAGCCCCAGGAAACCAATTCAATGCAGGGACAGGCTAGACATTAGACAGTGAAACTGACCATACAAGGAAAATCTGAGTATGAGTCGTCAGAAAAACAGTCCTAGATGAATTTTCTCAAACTCAAGAATCAATGAGTGAAAAATATATTTCTGAGGATAAAAAGGAAATATGTTATTCTCATAGAGTTAATAATTTCAACAAGAAGAACTTTATCATACAATATTTTACAAGTAAAATTGACTGCCCTGTGATGCTGAAAGGACATAACCACATTCTTTTAGCTTTTTACAATGTTTGGAGTCAAACATTACTTGATGCAAAGAGGCGTGCTATGCTTACAGTCTTATTAAATCTTTAAAGTTGTTTCCCACAATCCTTTTTCTCACTTCTTTACATGTATGTGCGCAGGTATGTGCATGGTGTATGGGAGTGTCTATTACACATAGATGGTGAACAGTGATGACTGTTTTCCTGGCATACGGAGGGTTAAAGAAATGCTCCACATGCAGCCACTCAGTTTTACAAGCTGGTCTGCGCAGCACATGGCAGCGTTACAATCACAGCTGTGAATGGCAGCAGCAGCGACAACTCTCTCAGGCCGCCTCGCCCAAAGTGCTGTCTCCTCAGGTGTCCACCTTGACACTGTTCTACAGAAACCAATTTTAAGGTGAATTCTGGCCTATTCGATATCCAAGAACCTTCTGTGGACATAGCACTGTACCAGGCACTACAGAACTACTATATTATTTTTATTAAAAAAGACAAAACAAAACTAGGAAATCTCCCACAGAACCACAGAAACTGAAGGCCCTAGGGATTGCCTTCCAGTAGAAAGCTAGACCATAATATTGTATCACCAATCTATCACTGCTTAGTAACTACAGATGTAAATTTAGAAAATGTTGTTTTAATCTTATGCATGAACAAGACACAACCCTGGTTCTAGCCATAATTGTCTACGGCTTCTCTTTGACTTCATTCAAGAGTTTATGTTTTAAAAATTAACCTTACATGTACAACAAGGATATACTCACGTACAACTAGGTCAATATCAGTAACATGAGAAACTGTCATCTTTAGCTTAAGAGATGTAAAAATTTACCAGGTAAAATCTTTTTACTATGTAAAAATGTACTAAAATTTCACTGGAAATATTCATATATGATGGGATGTCTTCTTTAAGCACTAGTCCTCCCTTCCATGTGGTTCTCTGAAGGCTAAAACTATGACATTTCTTATCTGCTGTTCAATGTAGAATGGCTTCCTTCTCCAGCCACCTCCAGGATAGAATTAAAACATACTCAAATGATTTTTCTGTTGGGATATCCAGAATAATCTGAATTATTCATATAAAGGGCTACAAAGGTATAAAAATGTTCCTCTAGCAAACTTAAGTTACAGAGGATAAAATGTGGTAAAAATCTAGGCTTAATTTAATCTTAATAAAATCTTGGTTACCTCCTTAATGACCTCATTAAGAGAAATGGAACTGCTGGTTATCAGCTACTGTCGGCATTAATTTATGCAGTTAATTAATAAAAGCAACCCATTAAGTCTAATAGCATATGGTCAAACAACAATGACAAAAATCACAAGGACACCACAAACCTCCTTCTTAAACAATAAACAGTGAATTAAAAACCACAATCAAGCATTTCCGCTTTTAAATTGTTATATAAACATTCTGATGCTGTGGTTTACCCTGGACTAATGAGGCATTCTGATGGATTTCTAGTGTTACAGAGAAAGATGCAAAACTGAATCATTGACACAGCATTTCCTTGTGAAAAAGGACAAACCAGGATGATTAAAGCAATGCTGAAAGGACAGAAAACCCTGAAATTGGACTTAATTTTTTGCTCTTTTATCTGTTTGCAAAGTTCGTGTAATTCTTTACATGTGTTAGTTTGTTTTGGGAACACTCCATGATCATTTTTTCTCTTTAAAAAAATGCCAATCATTGAAATCAAGGAAACACGAGACAGCAAACCATTTTATACAGAGTATAACTGAAAGAGGAAAAACAAGAGAAAACACTTTGAGCTTTTAAGACAGAGTGGTATTTAAAGTACTCAAAGGTTTCTAAAAAAATTAAGTAGACCTTTCTTTGATGAAAACTGAAATGAGAATGAGGCGAATCCCTAGACAACTTAAGACAATCAACATTTCTCAAAGAAAGAGCACAGAATTGGTGTTAGAATAATACACAGAATCTGGGGACAAGTCATTCACATTAAATAGCTGATGGCTTAGCAGGGAAGACTTGAAATATAAATAAATAATGCAAGAAGTGCTCTAACAGGGACATGAAGAAGGTTAACAGGTAGGGCAGGGTTAAGGAAGACCTGGAGGAGGTAACAGGGCCAAGTATAAAACAGGAATAAGTATAGTGCCTAATAGGGTTGTTAAAAGGGTTAACAGTGACATACATAAATGCCCCGGCCCAGCTAATAATAAATGTTAATCAAATCAAACTCTATTCAGAGTTCAAGTTCCCCAACTTACTGAGCATATGAATAGTCAAGGCTGGCCTGATCAATCCGGTTCCTGAGGATTCCAATGTCTGCTGACACCATGTCATCTAAAGCCTGTAACTCCTTCTGGATCCTCTTTAGTTTCATGGTCTCTGCCTGAGTTCGTTTAGATCTAGAAAATAAGGAACATGAGTGAAAAAACAAAAACATTTTAAAATCATATATCCATACACAATATAAGTAAAAAAAAAAAAGCAAGCTACTGTGTATACAGTAATGATTATAATGCATAATTTTTAAAAATTAGAAAAAAACCCCAGAAAAATGGAAATAAATGCTAGGAACACCCTGGTGTATCTCTATGCCTGCATTTGCACTTTTCTCCTTATTATTCCAAAGTTTCTATCAGTACATATTGTTTTCATATACAAGGGAGAAAGTAACACTAAAAGAAACAGCAATAAAGAGTTCACTGATCGTCTACATTCCGTAAGGATGAGCATAAGCACTAAAAGGACCTGTCTGTATTCTCTTTACGTTGGAACATCAAACACAGCTTTCCAAACTTCTAGCCTTAAATTCTTCTTCTTAAGCTCATTTTCATTTGTCTGATACTTACTGGACACCAAGAACAGATGCCTCCATTGAACACCATTTCTTTATACATCTGAAAACATCTATTTGATTTTAATTTTCTTAGGACTCATTTCCCCAAACTTTTATTGCTTTGAGTCCTTCTTTAGGTAAAAGTACAGGTCCTCAAAATTCTCTTGAGGGGGCTCAAAACCACTCTTTTTTCCCCCTTGTTTCCCCACCTCATCATCTCTCAGTCTATTCACCAAGCCCAACTAAATCATCGACGTAAGAAACAATAAACAAATACAAAAGCCAACCTTTAGTCATGATTTCACTCACTTTGAAATTTCATTTCACATCCTCACAGGAAAAAAGAACTCCCAACAAAACCACTATACGGCAACTTACATTCTCCTGATTTCTACTCCATTATGCGTTTCCCCTTGTTTTCTGCCTACAAAAGCTAACTGTACGGTTTTTTACTTCAAGTACCTCTCTGTCCATTTATTAATAATCTAATCATGTTATATTTCCTTACATTTCTATCCATATCAGTGCTTTCTGTCTTAAATCAAAAGCACGTACAGAAGAAGTGCTGAGCCTGTAAATCTTTTTGTAAAATCCCCAGTAAACAGCCTTCCCAACCTCTTCCAAAGTGAGGATGCTTTTCAATCATCATTTTTAAATAATCATAGTTTCTCTTTTTGAAACATAAGTTCAGTAAGTTGACTATTTCCTGGAAGATCAAGGTGTACCAGTAAGAGGAAAAAAATCATTACTTTCAAAATCCTGAATCACGGTTTAAAAATTTTTTTTATTTTAACCTTTTTTTTCATTGAAGTATATAGTTAATTTATAATGCTGTGTTAGTTTCAGCTGTATAGCAAAGTGATTCAGTTATATATGTATTTATATATACTTTTTCAGATTCTTTTCCATTATAGGTTATTACAAGATATTAATATAGTTCTCTGTGCTATACAGTAGGACCTTGCTGGTTATCTATTTCATATATAGTAGTGTGTATATGTTAATTCCAAACTCCTAATTTATCCTTCTCCTCCCTGCCCCCCTCAACCCTTTGGGAACCATAAGTTTGTTTTCTATGTCTGTGAGTTTTCTGTTTTGAATATAGACTCATTTGTATTATTTTGTAGTCTCCACATATAATTGATATATCATATGATATTTGTCTTTCTCTGACTTACTTCACTTAATATGATAATCTCTAGGTCCATCCATTATGTTGCAAATGGCATTATTTCATTCTTTTTTATGGCTGAGTAGTAGTCCATTATATAAATACACCACAACTTGCATGTATGTTTCAGAATTAAGAGTTTTCTCCAGATACATACCCAAGAGTGCAATTGCAAGATCATACGGTAATTCTATTCTTAGTTTTTTAAGGTACCTCCATACTGTTGTTCTCCATAGTGGCCGCACCAATTTACATTCCCATCAACAATGTAGGAGGGTTCCTTTCCTCCACACCCTCTCCAGCATTCACTACTTGTAGACTTTTAAATGACTGAGTTACTATCCTCACCTGCCTTTCTCTCTATCCCTGTTCCTTCCCCTCCCCCAACACATACACCAGCTTCAATCAGTAATAGCTTTGCGAGACTTTTCTTGAGATCTAAAAAGAAAATGACACTGAATATTTGCCTGCATTTAGTTCTCACTATTCTCAATCATTGCTTTACTGAATAGGCTTGGAAACTACAAACTAAAAGAGAAGAGTGGGTGAGGGATGGGAAAAGTGGCTCAAACAGGAATGTTGCTGTTCAAGGCCAATATGAGAGAGTAAAGGAAAAGGAGGGTGAGAGAAAAACCGTACATAACATGGGACAATGCTCATAATGACGATCCAGAGTCACCGATAAAAAGTTGGACTACATCATGTATCTTCTATCCGTGGGGGGCAGAACACATTAAGAAAAATGTCCACAGGAAATACAATAAAGACTTAAATCACTTATGTGGAATAGTTTTGTTCCTCTACACGTTGGATGATTAAGGTCTATGTCAAAATTAAAACCTGCATTCATTGCTAATTTACTTACACTGAGAGCTGTTTACCGCTCCCTTATGAATGTGTAGACGGTTAAAACTGAAAACACTGATGATGATCCTTAAGTTTTAATCGCACTTGTATTCGAAAGTTTATTATGAGCTCCTTAATAAATTAGGACTGGAATTTCAGTCTAATTTGCAAAGCATAATTTGTTTAGTTGGCCTTAAAAGTGATAGTTGTAAAGAAAATGTCATTTATTAGAACAGACATGGGAAAAGAAATACAAAACACGACAGAACTGATTACAGGTTACAAACAGCCTCTCCTGGTGCAGGTGCCTCACCTTTCCGCAATAGCTTTAGCCAAAAGAGCTTTCTTACGTTTATTTTTCTCTTCCATCAGCCGCTGTTCTTGCTGGAGGACTTCCCAACGAGATTTTTCTTGCCTAGGGAGCAAAAGTATAAAAATGAGTTTCTGAAGCTCCATTCCACACCTTACCAGTCTCAGTT